ACATATAATTTCTGTCTCTGTTATCTATATTGATTAAATACAAAACATGTATGGTGTCGCAGTGCTTACTAATCACTTATTCGTTTTAGCTAATTTTTCGCACCTAAATAATTCTCGCTATAATTGCAAGATTACTTTTTTCAGTGCACGTATCTGTTTATATATTGGTAGAAGTATGGAAAAAGAATATGAGACAATTGGACAGTAGAGCGATTCTACCGTGAGCTTTGTGTTCCTTCCAATTGAAACTTGGCGAGTCGAAACAAACACAAACGTGCGAGACGCAGATTCCATTCGCAGTTCAACGCGAATCTCATTAACACGCGTTTGCGTCCCGCACACACGCTCGGCTCGGCTTGTACAAAACCGCGCGTGCAACCAGTCATCATCGCGGTATTAGTCGGCATTACTCAAATATTAAATATTCGTTATTCGCGCGCGAGAAGCGCGCGTCGGGCGTGACGGCGCGATGGTAGGAGTTTATTTGAATTTAATCACAGGGCAAAGTGCCCGTATTAACCGGGATACATGCCCTCCGTATAGCGACGAGGGGGAGGGGGGGGGGGCGAGCGGAGAAAGGGGAGGTGGGGAACGAGGACAGGAGAGAATTTAATATCCGCTTTTGGGCGAGCACATTCGCATATGTGGCAACGAATATACGTACGGACAGCCCCGGTTTGGCCCGAATTGTCTGAACAAATTTGCGCGCTCGTCGCCGCGGAAATACCTACACACATGGAAAATGCGCAGCGCGGGGCCGCGCGCATTCTCGCAGCGACAGCTCGGTTTTATGCGGATCACTTTTGTTCGACGTGTGCAAAAATTTCGCGCGTCCACGCCCCGTGACGCGTCCTCCTCTTACTCGCGCGATTTTACGGCGGACAGGTTATCGTACACTTGCGGCATAACGCGGGAGCGAGCTTGACGTGGGTATCAAACGCACGTCACACCCGGTCGGTCGGAACGATTTGTCGTTGTTGCTGGTATCGGAACTCACGAGCTGTTATTACAGTTCATCCGATCGCGTGCACTCAAATATTTTCACGGTAAATATTTGCGAGGTTTTCACGATATACATTTGTACGAGATGCTTCTACGTTAACATGTGTATAGCAGTTATTTATTTCGCTATACACATCGAGAATTCGTCGAGTTGTTCAAGGTTTTGAGATGCAATTCTCGAAATATATGCATGGAAAATATATATTTGTTGTATATGTTTGTAAAGTCTTTTACATGGCATTCTATAATTAAAGATTTTTTTATAACATACCGTTCAGGTTCTCTACATTGATTGATGTTTTTATAATGTCAACACGTATTAAATTAAACATCTCTTTAAAAAAAAACTCTCCTATAAAGAAACGGTAAATTTTATTGAAATTAATACCTAATACTTTTAAATGTATATCAGTGTTTACAGTAATAAAAGAACGAACGTCCATACATTTTATTCGCAAGTATAAAAACATCCGTATCCGGTGAGGCCCCGGATAAGAGTTGACGGCACTCCGTTTCGAAACGTGGAGACAAGGGGGGGAAAAAAAATTCGATGAGATCGTTCTCCCTCACTGACGCCTTCCTTCGCGCTCTCGTATATTTGCGGGATCCGTTTTTGCCCGCGACTTCTTTTTATCGCCGTCGCCATTGACGTCAATCTCGCCCCCATAAAAGCCCCGTCGCACATGTGCGAGATTCCGCGCACGGTGGCACCGCGGACGAACTTGCGCGCGCGGACGGACTCGCATCGTCCGTAACGCTGTTGCGCTTTTAAAGAGCCAATCAAAATTCCACGCTGACCCACTTCGTGATTGATCAACGATGCTACGTGTTCGCGACTCGACGATGCGGCCTGATAATCGCTCCCGAACGTGATCGCGATCCGACGCGTACGTCGCGTCGTTGCCGATCGGCAGGAAGCTATTATCGCTTCCATGCGCCGGCGTGTCATCCAAATTGCATGCGAGGCAAGCCGCGTGAATAAGGGAGGATCCGATATTTGCGCGTTTAGCAGGAAACGATCTGAAAAAAAATAAAACCCTCAACATTTCCATCTCGATTTCAACTTTAAAAACATGTTTTGAGAGGTATATATATCTTCCCTATGATATATACGTGTACGTGGAAAACGGAACCATTTCTTTTGCTTGATTTGGTAGAGAAGTGACTTTTATAAACGGTGTGTATGCAGTAGAACCTTCCGAAAGAAAAGACATAATATCTATGAAATAGACATTTCGGTCGGAAAGTAGCGACTGTTTCTCTTGATAAAAAAACTTGCATGATAAGTTGCACTTTCCGACTTTTGCTCTCCTATACAATAAACATTCACGAGGATGATGATGATCAATCATCTTTTTTTGAAAGTGAACACGTTATAATTTTCTTACATGAACACACAAGCACTAAATCAGCACAATTTATCGTCACTGTGCCCAAACGTTAAAATGGATGACTCCACAAATCATGGTCCGAATATTTTATTTCAGCGTGTTGACAGTCCATTCATGAGATACCGTATCGTATAGCCGATAAAATACTTCAGAGTACTTTTAAACGAGCAAACCGTTGTTCTCGATCAAATTTTGTAGTCAGCGTATACCGACGATTTATTATCGGGAGAGGGGGGAGGGGATATAATTGCCAATGCTGAATATGCATTTATGTACGTCCGGTTAGTCGATACCGGTTTATCGATAGCTATAGTATATCGATTGTGCGCGGCAACACCGAATGCGAATTAAAATTCAGTTTTCCGCGGTGTACTCCGCGTGAGAGAAGCGAAGGAAATGTTAAGCAATAATTTCAGTCCGTTTACCACCTACACAGGAAGAATTAGCGGGCTTAATGTGCAGTTGACAGAATGACGAATCGCCGCTAGCCGATCCCTCTTCCCGCCTACACGCGCAATACAGTTACCACGCTCCACGGTGCCGGAACGCAACGGCGTGTAAAAGTATATAATAAATTAATAAGCGTAAAGTTAAATTATTTATTTATAAACGACCGTATTAAATTAAACAATTTAAATTAATATAAACAGCCGTATATTAAATTAAGTAATTTAAATATTTATGCAATGATAATGACGAAATAATTATTAAACCCAAAATTACTGTCGAAATAACCTCAAATCAAGTGGATAAATATGAAATTAATAAATTCAATGAGTCTCCGATCTCGATATACCTTTCATAGTCCCGTCATCCGTTATATATTTGCGGTCATTTATATTTTGAGGAAGTTTTTAGATAAAATATTGGAAATTCTGTTGTCTAAAAAATAATACGTTACGTGTATTTACAAATTTGTGTATCGAGTTACAACACACTTAATTCAATATAATTTTGTTTCTTACTCTTAAAATAAATTACTTGTATTTACAAACATTCGGACTTTTACGAGCATTTTGAAATTACTCTTGCGTTTCTTCGAACGCCAGAATCCTCGTATTCGAAGCGCGCTTCTCTCCTTGCGCGGATGAATGCAAATGGCCGGAATGGCATCGTTTCGGTAGCGTCGACTTCGTTCGCTCGAGTCAACAAAAACAAATCTCTACGCTACGTAGACGGATCGATAGTTTTGGTACTCTCGAGAGCGCCGAGAAGCGCGGGGTGCTCCGCAGTTAGTCGAATTCGCCGAAAGCATGCGACGGAGCTGCTAGATCGGAGCTGCTGAATTTACTCGTTGTAACTCGTGCCGATGTCAAGTACTCGTACTTTCGTCGATGTAATTACGTTGCCGCTGCAGCGCCAGCGAGGGTTGACGTTTGTGTAACAAACAGGAGCAGTTTCCCGCGGTGCAACCGCGAATGCTGCACGCCGGGGAAGAGTAGCTTCGCTGCGCGTCGTTGATCGCAATGTTCGATTGCGCTCAAAATACCCATTCTATTTGCGAAAAGAGCTTCCCCGATTTTGGGAAGGGTTTTTGCGTGCGAATATCGATGTCGCGCTCGATTGGCCTTCGCCATTGAAAATATTTCGCTTTCTGAATTCATTTCATCGATGTCCAGAGAGAAACATTTATTTTAATACGTTTCGTTGTTTATTTTAATTTATTGGCAGTAACAAAACCCTACAGCTATGAATTTATAGTGTTTATATAGTCAACTGCAAATAACGGTGATAAAATTTATTAAAAAAAATTCTTTCTAACTTTTATATTTGAGTATTTCGCGCCCCACACACACACACACACACACATACACACAGTGATGAATTTAGAGCGATTTTTTTTCCTGACGGAAAATTGAATATTTTTGCTCGCGGTGCGAAATTTTGTGACAGTGAAAAATTCGTTTATCGATAATGAGGGATGTCAGTTTAATGGACGTTAAAACGCTTCGTTAGTAGTCGGATAATTACTTATTGGCGGCCGTTGAATAATTTTTGACCGCCGACGCGGTCTTTCGGTGAAACGTTAAATATTGCATGCGACATACTTTTTTGCATGCGCATCTCGTAAGCTCTTTTTGGCGCGTTGCTTAATTTCCATGTAATCGAATGCCATAAAGGTGGAAAAACCGGCGATGTCCGGTATACGAGAAAAAAAAAGAGAAGTGCAGAAGCAGGCAGCTCCGATCGATATACCAACGTTCACCAAGTATATTCATTAATGCGGAAGCCTTCGTAAAAAGCTTTGTAAAACTCCGATATTACGATGTAGACTCCGATGCGCCCTTTCTTTCAACGTTGCCTAACGCTTGTTAACACTCGAGCAGTTCTGCAAGAGTCACTTGACTTATAAAGTTAGGTACTGGATTTAGTATGAAGTAAAGCACAAAGTGCCTATAACATTGCAGGTAGAAAAAACCTAAAATCGTTTTATCAGGAAAGAAAGGAATTTTTAAAAGTATCTCGTCGTATCTTTGAATCTTAAATTTGCTATATATATACTTTGTGCCAGAATTGAGAATTAAAATTTCCATCGCATTACATATATACTTTACGAATGTAATATTTTAACATCACTTTAATTAATTAATTAATTGATTGTTACAGGTCCGTCCTCAGACTTTAGCAGACACACTCTGGTGAGACCGCGAGTGTATCACGGCAGGACAAAAAGGCAGATCTCGTCAACCAAAGAGAACGTGAGTTCAGTTTTTTTTTTTTAATGAAAAGATCTTTAAAATCTCGTGAAATAATGTACGAATTATATCTCGAAATTTCTAAAAAATGTTGAATTTTGATTGCGTTACTATTATTTAAAAAAAAAACACTATTTTTAAGAGTTCTACGAATCAGCTTTCTTTTATCCCCCTTTGTCGTGTCACATACCACTTGACCCGTAAAATATGAATCAGGATAGCGTTTTTTATACAAAGAATTTTATTCATATCAAAATTTCATCAATATAAACGAGTTTTGTAGATAGACTTTCTCGCGATCAGTCAATTAAAGATTAATAAGGTAACAAAAAATTTTAATTGACTATTCGTTGACGCTGCTCTATGACGTAACGCTTGAAGGCCAACGTTCACTAATCTGTGACCTTCGGGTATTCGCTATCAGTCGCGATCGCCTAATACTTTTATTTCCGCGAGTTTTTACGCAGCTGCACGCGGTGTTCGCCATTTGCTCGAGTGGATTACGATGCGAAACGCGCATCGGCGAACGGGTGCAACAATTTCAATGCAAATGTCGCGGCGTGCAGCGAATACAAAACCCGCGAGAGTCGCCGTGCTATTAGACAGACGGCGCCGCGAAATAGAGAGAACGAAAGGGGGCAGAGAGAGAGAGAGAGAATAGAAGAGAAAAGTTCGATGTTTTGCCAGTAGCGAATTCGGAAAAATCCGTCAGGGGAAATATGCGACAGAGAGATTGTTATCTGAAAGAAATTTCGATTTTCTTCTTTTGATGTGTAGACAAGCTCTATCGAAGAGCTTGTTTTCAAAAGGAATATGGTTTTTTCCCTTGTAAAAAAACGGATAAAAACATTTCCGAAAGACATATTGTGTTATCTATTAAATAGCAATATCGACAACTGATATTAATCATGAGTTTTGAGGCTGCAGTGTTCGATTGTTTAGAAATCAGACGCTATTCTTTTTACATTTTCATAAACTCACGGTATTAAAAATAGCGTTAAAATGTTTATTAATATTGCTTTGCGACTATTTTAAATTTGATGTATTCAGATATCAGAAAAATTTTCTATTAATATGCTTCCCGTGATGTACAAGGTAAAGGGTTAATTTCAGATATGTTGAAAATACAATCAAAGCGAGTAACTGCATGATTAGAGAAAATAAGAATATCTTTTAGTCGACTGCACAATAACATTTCCGTTTACTGAAAAGGCACGTAACACCGAGGAAGATATAAAGTAACGTTTCATTTCTGCGAAAGCTGTTTTGAATACAGCGTGTGCTTGTACTTTTATCCTATCTTCGCCTTTTTCTGGCGTAACGTACCACGTAATAGAAGATGGCAGGCAGAAGTGCACACTTACAGGAACAACAACGGAATTTACATCGGGTGCACACACGTCTCGGTGTCGTCTCTCTTGAATCCGTTATTTGGCGGGTGCCACAATGGACCTGCACGTACGTCACTTTATAAGTATGACATGTAACAAACACGCTCGCGATATAGTTCGCATCCCTCTAATTCCGCTTGATAAGAAGTGAAACGGCGGAATATTTTACAACTTGACCTTTGAATGCGACGATATGATTTATCCATTTACTTGGCAATTCTTATGTTGAGAATAAATCTGCATATTACAGAGAAGAAAGAAGGCAAGATGAAGGAGCGCGTGTTAAAAAATATATTTATTCAATTTGTTAGTAATTTATATATAATGATTAAAATTTATTCTCATAGATGATTAATTAATAATATTTAATTTATTAGACATAATGTTGATTATTCATTTTAACATAGGCACACTTAATTTTTATTAATCCTTAATACAGTTTGCCTAAAGATAAAATTTAATTTTCAGTATTACTTTGTAGTATTAATTTTCTACGCTGTAATTTATGCTTCTTCATTAGACATACATATATCAATGATAAATCAAAACACACACAGATACATATCTATGGACAAGAAATGAAAATGGGATTGACTGTATATATTCCGATGAATAAAGTAATTTTACCGAACGATCGCCTCGTTGCGCGAGCGACATAAATATAACAATAAAAATATCGCGACGAAATATCATGCGGTTCGCTTGCGTTTTAGTGGGGCCACATTCTTATGGAACATTCGAATGTCGTGAACAATTTACTTTATTGGCGTCCACCCAGCGTAGTCGTCCGATCGCCGCGGGGATTATACATGTATATAGTATGAAGTGCAATAACGCTGCGAGAGTACGATATCGTGTACATGTTGCAGGATCTTTTTCTGGCGTAAAAATTAAGAAAATTAAAATTGTGGAAAAAAACTCTGAACAGTGTATGCTAGTCTTAAATACACTGAATTGATAAAGTAAAAGTTACGTCATTGAGAACATTACTCTCTAAACGTGAATCAGTGGACTGATTTTCAATGTATATCATTTTCCAGTGACGTAGTTAAAACTGTGATAAACAGTGACTCTATTTCAATGTTGTTTCAATAACAGTATATTGATTCAAACAGTGAATATCACTGAAAGAACAGTGAATTTCAGTTCTAAAAACTGTTTGACAGTGAAACTCACTGTCTTTCAGTGATATTGACTGTTTGAATTAAGTATATTATCTGAAACAACATTGAAATAATCACTGTTTATCATAGTTCTAAGTATGCCACTGGCATACTTAGAACTATGAATTATTTTTAAAATAATGAAAAATTTAGGAAATCTTGAATTGAAATCTCGATTCAGAAATGTTTAAAAACGCATTTAAATATCGCAAACTATCGCAAATGGAAAGAGGTTATGAAGCAAAAAATATAGCGCGTTTTGGAAACTGGTGTCCATAGCACTTCTGCTCTAATTTTACGAAGCTTTTAGTACATCGATGGAGAACCCAGAGCAATGTGGTGTCAAGTTCTTCACTTTTGCCGCCTCTCCGCTCTCCCCTTTTTTTCTTTTAAATCCGGAAATGCCTGCACTAACATTTGGAATTCTAGAATTGCGAAACAAACTTCAACTACCTCAATCCCGAACGCTGCGACCACACGGCGTGCGCGTATGTGTACCGTGCGCTCGACGGTTCGGATAAGAGTAACTCAACACTAGTATCTACTTTGGTGTTGCCAAATATAGTTTACACCGTTTGACATGTGATTCTGCAAAGCACGTGAACGTGTGTGTGAGTTTACTAATACCGCGGTTTGTGCTCGGCTGTACAAGATTGCAGATTCTATAGCGCGTGACTTGTAGCCTGTGATTTAGTAACACAAAAGTTGTAATTCGCGTGCGCGGCTTGGCCCTGAATAGACCGCGAAGCAAACTTCTTGATTAATGTTAAGTGGAATTGAAAAGAATACAAAGCGACATCGGTCTGACAGAAGACGGTAGAAAGATATAATGTGCGCGTACACGCATCTAACCCATTGAATTTTGCCGACATGCAGTTAAATACACAATAGATTGCAGTAGAGTTTGTTGATTTGCATCGATTTGGATCGTTTTTTAGGGAACTTCGGCTTTTGATAGACACACACAAATCGTTCATTTTATTATCGCGAACGACTCGTGACGAAACACGAATTTATCAATAAACGATAACGTTATTAAAAGCAAATGATTTTTATTCCTTAAAATGAACGATTTGTGTGTGTCTATTAAAAGCCAAAATTCCCTGGAAAACGATCCAAATCGATGCAAATCAACAAACTCTACTGCAATCTATTGTGTATTTAACTGCATGCCGGCAAAATTCAATGGGTTAGATGCGTGTACGCGCGACAGATTCTTATGAATAATACAACGCGAGAAGCGTCTGATCAATATAAACATGCAAGATATGGGAATTGCATCAGCAATGTGGAATTTTTCGTTCTGTTAAAAATCAAGTTGAACGCTGGTGTCAATTACCATCTCTGGACTACTGGCTACCTTTGTCGAACTGGGATTGCGGCGATGCGTCCAAATACCAGATGCAAACTGTATACGAGCCCCGTGATATAGTCTTCGATGAAACGAGTAATTGACCCCGTTTCTCGTTATCACACGCGCTAACAGACTGCAGTATCAATCATTTGATAGAAGCAGCGGCTATAATTCCCTGTAATCCAGCGTCTCGAATAACACGCACTCGATTGTTATTCGCATTTCCGCGTCTATCGCATGTGCATATCGCGTGATAGTTTATTATTATTGATTCCGAGATGCGAGAACCGAGTACGAGTGTCTGCCTTGAAAAGTGCGAAGGCAATATTTTGCCGGATGTCTCCGGCGCTCGAGCTTCTTGCAGCGGGCCTTAAAGCGGGATGCAGAAAACCGTGGAAACTATGTTTAGATCGGTGAAATTTAACGCAGTCGAGAAACGTCGGTAGGGCAGGTCAGGGAACTGTGAAAGTCTGAAATTTCTCGCCCTAACGGACAGAAATGACAGAAATTATGTCGTTCGCTTAATAATATTTGTTTCCGACTCAGCACTACATAAATGGTCATTAAATTTTACTGGTTTTCTACAGTTTTTAAATAATGTAATAAAAAAAAATCAGAGCAGAATTCTTTTTATACAGGGTGTCGAGATCTCGCCATAAGTCGAGATCAATTACTTGGGCGATGAATGAGAACCTAAAATTAAGAAAGAAAATTGATATAAACATAAGTTCAAAAATACGTTGTTGTCCTGATATCTGCCAAGGAATGCTAAGCGAGCTGTATCTTCTCGTGCATCTTGGGATAGTGCTGAGGCAGCTCGCAAATTTTATTTGACTTTAATTATGTTATAAAACTCAAAAATCATTGATCTTCTTTCAATTATGACAAAATTGACAAAAAAAATTCGAAACCCAAGCAGTTTCAAATTTCAACGTAAAAATAGTGACGCGATAACAACGAAAACAACGTATTCGGATATTTAGATCAATTTTCTTTCTTGTTTTTTGATTCCCATTCGTCTCCCGAGTGATCGAGCTCGACTTACTTGTATACAAATAAAAAATAATTCTTTTTTCCTCTTTTATTTTCCTCTTC